GTACGCGACCAGTTGTGTTATTATCACTGGGGGCGGGTCCGCTCGAGCCAGGTGGCTGGAGGCCGGGTTAGCCAGTACACCTGCTGTGCAGCTGCTCCTGGCTCTGTGGGCTGCCAGGTGGCAAAGCAGCACGTGCGGGACGGCCGCAAGGAGAGCCTCGATGGCTTCGTGGAGACCTTCAAGAAAGAGTTGTCCAGAGACGCTTATCCAGGAATCTACGCCTTGGACTGTGAGATGTGCTACACCACGCATGGCCTAGAGCTGACCCGCGTCACCGTGGTGGACGCCGACATGCGAGTGGTGTACGACACCTTCGTCAAGCCCGACAACGAGATCGTGGACTACAACACCAGGTTTTCCGGAGTCACCGAGGCCGACGTCGCCAAGACGAGCATCACGTTGCCCCAAGTCCAAGCCATCCTGCTGAGCTTTTTCAGCGCCCAAACCATCCTCATCGGGCACAGCCTGGAGAGCGACCTGCTGGCCCTGAAGCTCATCCACAGCACCGTGGTGGACACGGCCGTGCTCTTCCCGCACTACCTGGGTTTCCCCTACAAGCGCTCCCTCAGGAATCTCGCGGCCGACTACCTGGCACAGATCATCCAGGACAGCCAGGACGGCCACAACTCCAGCGAGGACGCAAACGCCTGCCTGCAGCTGGTGATGTGGAAGGTCCGACAGCGCGCCCAGATCCAGCCACGCCACCGGTCCGCCTCTCCCGCCGCCCTGGCCTGTCCTTAGCCCCAGGCCTCTTCCAAAACCGCCATCAGTCCCGAGAGCTCACCCTGCCCACCTCGCCGCAAAGCGAAAGAAACTGGAGCAGCCGGCGGCAGGAGAGGGCAAAAAGCCAAGAGTAACCCCAACCCCCCACTCCCGGTCCCCCGGAATCCCTGCCGCGGCCCCTCGGGCCTGTCCACATCCCTCTGCCCCTCCCAGACCTCTGTCCTTCCACCAATCGCCTCCCGCAGCCCCGAGCCGCCACTCCCAGTCCCCCGAGTCCCTGCCGCGCGCCCTCGCGCCTGTCCACATCCCTCTGCCCATCCGAGACCTCTGTCCTTACACCACTAGCCACCCCACGTGGGACTTCCATGGCTTCTGAGTACAAGGCCAGCCCCCCGGCCCACCAGCTTTCGGAATGCCTGCTTACCTCTTTTTCTGTAGAGGCACCACAGGGAGGTGGGTGAAGCACTTCGGCTCTGGAGTTACAGATCTGGGTTCAAGGCCAAATTCCACCACTTACTAGGTTTGTAATATTGGACAGATAACGTCTTTGCGCTTCTACCTTTTGGTCTTTAAAGTGTGATCAAAAGAGACTTAGACTCCCACATAGTAATAATAATAATAATGGCAAACTTAACACCCCACTGTCAACATTAGACACACCAACGAGACAGAAAGTTAAAAAAGGATATCCGGGAATTGAGCTCAGCTCTGCACCAAGCGGACCTAGGAGACATGTACAGAACGCTCCACCCCAAATCAACAGAATATACATTCTTCTCAGCACCACATCACACTTATTTCCACATTGACCACATAGTTGGAAGTAAAGCACTCCTCAGTAAAAGTAAAATAACAGAAATTATTACAAACGGTCTCTCAGACCACATTGCAATCACACTAGACCTCAGGATTGAGAAAGTCACTCAAAACCGCTCAACTGCATGGAAACCGGACAAGCTGCTCCTG